ATGAATCCAGGGGACGAGGTTTCCACCAGAGTTGAGACCCAGGAGTAGCAGGACAAGGAACGAAGATGTAAGAAGGGCTCCTACAAAGTCGATACGTGCGAGATACGACTTGTCCGACTGCTTGGGAGGCACCTTGACCAAGAACGCAACGGCCACGGCTGACAGGAGAACAGGAGGAACCTGGATCAGAAAGGCCAACCTCCAACCCCAGGCAGTATGATCGTTGATGAAGCCGCCAAATACACCACCCAGCATAGCTCCAGAGCCGTAGCAAATGTTGCCCAGGCCCTGGACAATACCTCTCTTGCGCAGCGGGACGAGATCGGAGCCCAGGAAGGTCGAGATACTCATCAATCCACCACCTCCGATACCCGCAACAACTCGTCCAAGGATCATGACGGATTCATCGCGTGCCAGACCGCAGATGAGGTTGCCAGCCGCGAAAAAGATGTTGCTAAAGACGAGGCCAGGTCCACGGCCAAAGATGTCGGTGAGACGACCGGAAATTGGCTGACACGCGGCATTGGATATCAGGTAAGCAGTCGCCAGCCAGGACAGAAGACTGAGGGAGTGAAACTCGCTCGAGATAGGACCCGAGAGAGTCGCGATAATGGTCGAGTCGATGGCGCCCAGGAAGACGCCAACCCAAGCTGAGGAAAAGATAAGGGCCAGCTTCGCAAACGACACCTCCTCTGCGACAACCGTCGTCTCCTCCTCTTGTCCTTCAGGCACTCCTCGCTCAGTGGCATCCTCTGGCGTCTCGCTGACCGGCTCAGGGAGTACTTCCTGAAGTTGATCTGTCGTCGACTTGAGCAGCGGTGTCCGCTCATCGCTGACGCGCCCGTCCTCAACGCGGGACGAACTGCCACTCGCGCTCCCACGCATAGTTTCACTGCCAATTAAACAAAAAAAGATGAAAGAAGTTGAAGAAAAGAGTTGAACAATCGTGAAAGACCGGAGACGGACATATATGTTTATCTTCCGCTCGCGTGCTTATACCGGGGGTATGCTCGGCGAGTAGCGGCCTATCGGAAGCGGGGGAAGAGTGTAGATCTGTCAGCAGCCAATGACGTTGACGGTTTTCCGGTTCCACGTACAGGGTAGCTTGCACCGAAGACGGAGTTGGATACCTGCTATTGACTCCGGCTCCGCTTGTGAGGTGGTAATGGGGAATAATAAGGAGTATCGTGATTCGTATGTGTTGTTTTAGATGTTGGGGGGACTATTTTGCAGATATCAAGTATCAAATAGTTCTCGACGTGACTTGAACAATGTAGAGTATACTTGGCTATCTCTCCTTGGTAGTCCACTATCAAGATCTCACCCAGTACAGTCAGATCACAACGAACAAACAAAACAACTCAAATTTCATTTCTGTTTCATTCCGTTCTATGAATACTCGTAATCTCATATACTAGACTAACTCGGGGTACTAGAACCTTCTTCATTCTAGTCTATCCACGCCTCAAACCCAGGGTTGCAACCCCCCTTCGCGACTTTTTGGATAGTGTGCCATGGGCAATCAAAGTGCCCCAAAGTCAGATATAAATGCAACGCTATGCAGAATCCCATATCGTCTTGTGTATCTTTAAACCCCTCATGTAATCTTCACTCATAGCGAGTTCTCAATCTCCATGATCTCACGGACACCCTCCTCGATCGCCTTGGTCTGCTCAGGAGACAGCCTCTTGAGAGGCCGTCGGGGGTATCCGCCGTAGCCAAAGTAGCTCTGGATGGCTGACTTGGTGCCGGCGATGGCAGCCTTGGTGAGCACCCAGTCACCCTTGGACAGCTTCTTCTGGAGAGCCTCGGCCTCTTCCCGCTTGCCCTTGACGTACAGGTCCCAGACGTGCACGCATGTCTTGGGCATGACGTTGGCGCCGCCAGCAATGATACCGCTGCCGCCGCTGACGAGGGTCTGGATGGTGAAGTCGGCGATACCGCCAAAGGCCATGTAGCCGGAGCCCTCGTTGAAGGGAGTCTTGGCGTCCTTTGCGCCCGCCACTCGGGTGAGCTTGCCGGTGCTACCGCATGTGAACTTGGTGCCAATGATGTTGGGATGCTTGGCGAGCTTGATGAGGAAATCGCTGTCCATGTCGACACCAGAGACGGCGCCAGGGTAGTTGTACAGGATGATGGGGATGGGGCTGGCGTCGGCGAGGTCGATGAAGTAGTTGTAGATGGCCTCCTCATCCATCTGGGCGCGGTAGTAAGAGGGGGGAAGGACAAGAGTGTAGTCAGCACCAGCAGCGTAGGCCAACTTGGACAGCTCGATGGTACCCCTGACGCTGCCCTCGGTGGCGCCAAAGACGATAGGGGTAGACTCGAAACCGGCCTCGTCCAAGGCTTCTCGGGTGGCCTGAGTGACGGCAACCTTTTCCTCGCGAGTGCAATGGACAGCCTCGCCGTTGGAGCCCATAGTCACGAGACCAGCAAGGCCAGCCTTGGCCAGTCGCACCGTGTGCTTCTTGATGACGGGGATGTCGAGATCCTCAGTTTCGGGGTCGAAGAAGGTCATGACAGGGGCGTAAATACCCGTGGGAAGCGGGCGGCGAGGGCCAGTGTGGCCATTAGAGCCGTTTGTAGCACCGTTGGAAGTAGTCATGATGGCTGTGGGGGGAAGAGCTGTAGGATAGGAGATGGAGATGAGAGTTACAAATGAAACCAGAATACAAGACAAACGCAAAAACACAGAACCAGGGGTAAAAAGGAAGGCGAGGGACTTTATAGAAACCATCAAATGCAATACTGAGCCGAGGAGTGGTCTTTCGGGAGCTAATGGCTGCGGCGTGCGTGAGGCTAAAGTTGGGGGTGGATTCGCTTCGGAAAAGTCAAGTGCGCAACAAGTCGCGTGGGTATTGGCTCGATTGTATTCCCCCAAGGACGTGACATTTTCGATGGAGTATGCAATGCAAGCCGAGGGGACCACTGTTCTTGCTCTGGTTTTGTTTCTTTGGGTCTTTGAGCGGTAGTACGGCATTGCATTGCGCGACAATCTGTAAGAGAAACGACTGGAAGCGAACTGTTGGTTAGCTGTTTCGCTTGTCATACGTACGTCCTTGACCGGAGCATCCTTGCTAGGTCGTCGAAACAGATGGTCATTGTAGAAACAGACGACCAATGCCATGTTGGCGCAGAATCATATTCCGTCTATAGCCTGGCCAAGGACTCGATCAGATTGAGGCGCATCAACCAAATCTGACCGGTGACCATCTTGGCTTGCGGGGGTTTGACCTATGAGGAAGAATGCGAGATCGGCACTTTTACAGATCAAGTGAACCGCATCCGGCAGAAGGCTGCTTCTCGACGCGAGATATCCCGTGGATGCATCCCTCATCGACAAACCCACGGCCAAGTCTTGCATCCCTGGACTAGTCCCGGCATGGGGAACCGGGCTGACGGGATGGGCGCGACGCTACTGAGACGACGGTGCCGGATTGTAAGAGGGTCCCCATGTTGGGACATCCCACGCTCTGATGGTAGCCTCGTGCCGATTACCTAGTCAGGAGGAGGAAGCTTCCCCCGGTAGAAAACTACAGTGTGTGCGCGTGGGAGGCAAAGTGCATCATCGAGGCGAGCTGAGTTGAGCCGGAACTAGGGTGGGTAAATGAAGCATGGCCGGGAAGAGTAACCGGTGCTGGGCGTGTGAATACGAATTACATGCGTATAAGTTGTGGTGGTGGTGAAGTATAACGTTTTGGTGTTGATGGGGGGTGGTGGGTTTCCATGGCGTTGGGTGGACGGGGAATTATCGGCGGCGGCCCCCAAAGTTGTTCCACCAGTGAGAGGAGGGATTTGATACTGTACGAACGGGAGCAGATGATTCTCGGATGGGTGGTTACAGGGGATAAAACGGAGTCATGCAAGTGATTTTTGATGAAGAACCACTGTTTATCATGTACTTTTGTCTTTAATGTATCTTTAATGACTTGCAAGGGCGTTTTAATGAGATCATGACTGAACCTTTGAATGCGCCTCATACTGTGATACCATATTACATCGTCTGCAATTGGCTGGCGGATATTGCCAGGGAATGCGGGGGGAGCCAGGTACTTCCTTGCCGTGGGGGTGGGGGAGGGGTTGACTCTAACCCCCCCCCCCCTCATGGGCTCCTTTATTCGCTCGCTCCAAATGTTGCATCCTGCGATGATCCTACATGCTCTGATGGTTTGGGGGTGGCTCTTTTGCTTTCCTCGTCTTCTCTCACCTTGAAACTGTCGATTTACTTCCCCGACGGATTTTCTCACACCTTTCGCCGGATTAATTAGCTCGAGACTTGAGGTTCCTGATCCTACTTTCCCCATCTGGTAATCATGACCGTTCCGTGAGCTTCACCCCGTTGCTTCAACTTTGATGCTTCACTCCAACTCTCTTCTCCACCCCCGACATCTATAGCCGTCTATCCGTCTGGGGGAAAGGATTATCACAAGCTATCAAACGACTCGCAAACCACATGATGCCATTGCCTTTCCCCATCCCCCGGATCGTCCCAAATCGTAGATTTCCCCACTCGAAAGCTCTCAAGGCATGAGCACATACAACATCAGATTTTACCCGGCCATCATGACTTCCCCCCCTCCCCCCATAGTTTGTGAGAACTCTCTGCCTCGGTATTGGGGGGATTTTTCGCGGGGCTCGATTTATCCTCCAATTGACTTGACCCCTCACTTCGGTGGGAACCCCGAACCTGTAATTTGGTGTATATCGGAGACATGAGCGAAACATTCATATTCAACCTCATGTCCAGGTGAATTTCTGTTTGATTTTGTGTATCAGACGTCAAGAACATCTCCACCTGTTCGTCTGGAGCTTTAGCGAATTTGCGACCGAGTTTGTTACAAGTGCTTGCGAGTTTTTATTTTTATTTCTTTTTGCTTGTAGCTTTGCTCTCATCATAGCTTCTGCCCCTCCCCCGCCTGCCCCTCGTCATCGTCAACACCTCTCTTACGATACCTCTCTACACAACCCTCACATTCACCATGGAGCCTCTTAACGTATTGATGGTGAGTTGAACCCCATATTCCAACCAAATTGACTTAGTCTAACTGTTGCAGATCGGTACTGGCGAGTACACCACCGGCTTTGTCGGCGGCGGCGCCTCTGGCTCAGACAAGAAGGTCGGTGTTGTCGGCCTCAGTCTGTTTGACCTGCGACGTCGCGAAAAGGTCAACAAGCTGGGCATGGTCGGTGTCAATGGCAAGAAGTTTCCTGCCATCCGTATGTTTCTCCCTCAGCAGCTTCATGTCATGATGGCTAACACCCGTAGGCGAGCATCTCCACAAGAACATCAGCCAAGTCTACAACAACCTCGACACCTCCTTCGACTCCTTCCCCGACAACAACACCGTAGACCCCGATGCCTACAAGACTGCCATTGACGGCCTCAAGGCCGGTGACGCCATCACCATCTTCACTCCAGACCCTACTCACTACCCCATTGCACGCTATGCCATTGAGCGCGGCATCCATGTCATGATCACCAAGCCCGCCGTCAAGATCCTCGAGCAACACCAGGAGCTTGTCGAGCTGGCCCACGAAAAGGGCGTCTACGTCTACGTCGAGCACCACAAGCGCTTCGACCCCGCCTACGCCGACGCTCGCGCAAAGGCCCAGACCCTCGGTGACTTCAACTACTTCTACAGCTACATGTCCCAGCCCAAGTCGCAGCTCGAGACCTTCAAGGCCTGGGCCGGCAAGGAGTCGGATATCTCCTACTACCTCAACAGCCACCACATTGACATCTGCGACTCCATGGTTCAGGAGCGCGGATACGTCCCCGTGACCGTCACAGCTTCTTCCTCCAAGGGTGTTGCTCTTGATCTGGGTTGCGACCCTGCTACTGAGGACACCATCTCCCTCCTCGTCACCTGGCTCAAGAAGGACGACCCCAGCAAGCGCGCTGTTGGTGTCTACACTGCCTCATGGACAGCACCCCAGAGGGCCGGTGTTCACTCCAACCAGTACTTCCACTACCTTGCCGCCAACGGTGAAATCCGCGTTGACCAGGCCAAGCGCGGCTACGACGTTGCCGACGACTCTGTCGGCCAGCTCATGTGGTACAACCCCTTCTACATGAAGTACGCCCCCGACGAGGACGGCAACTTTGCCGGCCAGACTGGCTACGGCTACATCTCCATGGAGAAGTTTGTCGACGGATGCCGCGCCGTCAACTCTGGCAAGCTCACGCCCACAGACCTTGACAACAAGCCTCTGCCCACTCTCAAGAACACCATCGCCACGACGGCCATTCTCGAGGCTGGCCGGAGGAGCATTGACGAGAAGAGGGAGGTCAAGATTGTGGTTGAGAATGGCAAGTGGAGGCTTGAGTAGGAGGATAAAATACCAGTTTCTATTTACGTGTATATCTTGGATGAAGAATGAACAAAAAGTAATGACCAATCTCATATACAAAGCCGAGAATTGCAATTGACTTGGTGGTGGTGATACTTTGTATTCATGCTTATCGGTGGATCTCAAGCCACGAACCACGAGCAACTCTGCTCCACCAAAAACTCAGCATCACAACGTCGATATAAACACCAACGCTTTATCCACCGACTTCTTCCCTTATACATAGTTTCATTTGTCTCTATATACTACAAAACTTCAAACGACCGCCCAAAATGCCTGACCCTCTCTTCTCAGATCTCATCCTCCCCCAGCGGGAACAACCCTCCATGTCGCAGCTCATGGCGTCTCTCAAGCGCACGACGCTGACCATCCACAACCGGCTCACGAGCATCCGCACCGACTCGGAGTTTGTACGCGAGGTGTCTCTGGCGTACGGCACGAGGCCACTCGTGGCTAATGAGCGCTGCGGGAGCTGGTATGTCCCGCCGGCGCGCAAGGCGGGGAGTGCGTACTTTAAGAGCACGGATGGGCATGAGAGGGCTTGGAAGTTTAGTACGAGGCGGTTGAATATGCATTTGGTCGAGTTGATTGAGAAGAATGATGGGTGAGTATAGAATTATGTCCTATACTAGATATCTCTAGTTTCTTTATCCAATGAGCATATACTGACTTGCCTCGATAGTATCATCATTGTCGACTCTACCCGTCGTGGCAAGCGTAAGTCTATCATTGATCGGTATATCCCCTTCTAGGAAACTCCCTTCTAACTCATTATAGGAATGCCCGACGCAATCTCCTCTACAATCCCAATCTGGTGCACAGTCCTCAACCTCACCCTCCTCCCCTCCAACCCATCTTCATCCAGGCTCTTCCTCCCCCCTCACCTCCCAGCAACTACCCACGCTCAAATCTCAGCCCTCATCCCAGAGTTTGTAACCTCTCTCAAGGCCCTCAAACTGGACTTGCCAACCTGTCTGACAAAACCCCTGCGTCCTGTATGGGTTACCCCAGACTCGTCTCTTCCGGCCGAGGATGATGCTCCTACTTCCATCTTTGACGATTTTCGTCCCGTTATCTGCTGCACGGCCAGTCGGCGTGTAGTGGGTAGTGAGATGGATGAGGGGGGATATATTCAAGGTGCAGCGGACGACACCGAGATGTGGGCACACGGTCTCACAGCACCCTTATTCTGGGAAAACATGGACATCCTCCTCGAAACAGCAGAGGCTGAGCTACCAGATCTTATCACCAGACTCGTCAGTGAACACGAAGCCGGTAAAACGGACGAAGGCGACCGTGTACAGCTCACACCACGCATCTCCGTCTGCGCCCTTCCCCTCGCCGGCCCAACCGATCCAACCGAATGCCGTATCGCCCTGACACAGGACATAACACAAAAGGACTCATGGGTTCAGTCCAAGTCGTACATGAAGGCCGGTCTCGGAAAAAGCAAGGCAGCCAGTCGTAATCTACGTCCTGGCTTGCCAGACATTTGCACCTTTGCGTCCAACTACCTGGCTGGGTCTGACCAAGGACGTATTGTCATAGCTTGCGATTCAGGCAAGGACTTGTCTATAGGCGTTGCACTGGCAATCTATTGTTACCTGTTTGATGACGAGGGAAACCTTAGGATCCCAGGGGCTGATGTCTCATTTACAAAGACGCTCATCAAGTCGAGACTGGGCTTCATCATGACAACCTACCCCGCGGCGAACCCTAGCCGGTCTACACTACAGAGTGTCAACAGCTTTCTCATGGATTGGCGGAAGTAACCATAATTTTAACAATAAGAACAAACACATGCAAACACAGTGCCCTTAACCCCCCATTCGGCAACTCGGTGTAGCGTTGGCCAATGATAAGCCTCATCTCATAACACCAACCATTCACGTGGAAAGCTTGTGAAACCGAGAACTACTGTTCAACGAGATTGATTAGTCTAAAGTGGGATCTACTGCTTCTCGGCTCTGTGCACTACATGGCCGACATCTCATGTCATGTCTGGGTATTCCGAAAAGCAGACTGGTGTGAAACTGACTCCTTCTTCCTTCTAAACCTCACCGGCCTCAACCTTCTTCAAGGCAGCAGGGAACTCGGCCCAGTCACGCATGATGATGACGGCGCCGGCGTCCCTCAGGACCTGCTCCATCTCGGCCTGCTTGTCCTCAGCATAAGGACCGACGTAGCCAATCACCTTGATGCCGGCCCGAGTTCCGCTCAGGGTACCGCTCTTGCTGTCCTCAATGGCAACACACTCCTCGGCCTTCTTGCCAAGCTTCTGCATAGCGTGGAGGTAGATGGCGGGGTCGGGCTTGCTGGTGGGCTTCTCAAGACTTGTGGCGGCGGAGAAGACCACGTCGCCGGGGAAGTACTTGTCCTGTCCAACCTTTTCGATCGAGGCGCGGACACGGCGGAGAGCAGACGAGGAAACAACGGAAAGTTGGTACTTGTTGGAAGCGGTGAGCGCCTCGAGCTGCTCATCGACACCGGGGCAAGGTCGAAGGGACTCCTTGAGCTTGGCAATGACGGCGTCCTCCTCCTGGAGAACGTAGGACTCGAGGTCCTCGGGGTTGATCTCGATGTTGTAGAGTTTTTGGAGCGAAAGGAGCATGCCGCGGAAGTTCTGGCCGACAAACTCCTTGATCAGAGTCTCGCCGGTGAAACGGACCTCGAGTTGACGACCCTCGCAGATCTTGTTGATAAGGCCGGCGCAGGCCTCGAAGGCGAGCTCCTCGGAGAGGACGAGGGTGTTGTCGCAGTCGAACAGGAGAGCGGTGATCTAGCGCATCATGTCAGCTCAAGTTAGACCACCAGCGCGGGAAATACCCCAACTGAAACATACCTCAGGCATCTTGGCGGTTTCTAGTGACAAAGGTTGAGGACAGGGGTAAAACTATTTGGGAACCAAAAGAAAGCAAAGGACAAGCAAGCCGTAAAGGTTGGTGGATGAAAGAAGAAGATGTCCAGCAACTTGCTGAGGTGGGGGGACCTAGTTTTTAAGGTCGACCGTAGAGGCCACCTCAATTGAAAACCTGGAGCAACGGGATCCAGGGAAGATGCAGGTGCGACTAATTACGGCGCCTGCTAAAGGCCGGTTTTGGCTTGTACGCGGCAGGAGCGCGGCCAAATGTGACGCTCGGGACTCCATACGTGCCTACCTTACCTTGACTCGATGTAAGGCGGGCAGGCGCAGTTTAGCAGCCACGGTCCAACAAGGAAACCCCGCGGTCAGGAAGGAGGGATCATGCTTTACAAGGTGCATGAACAAGTACAAGTTGAGCAACTTAAATAGAGGACAACTACTAGACTTACTCAGAAACTCAAGAGTATTCTGCTTTATCGTGAAACCATAATCACTTCTACCAAGCTCATGTCCATCATCAACTTTAACATGTGGAAATCAACAAACCCCTCGTGTCAGTCCTTCTCTGCCCCTCCCCCTCCAAGCTCCAGCCAGGCAGTGTCGTCATCGCTGCACTCTTGGAACATCCCCGCCAACACGCTAAACACCTTAGGCCCGTTTTCATCCATCCCACCGGCCCGCATCAGCGCGCGAGTTTCCTCCATGACAGGGGGGAGGAAACGGTGCAACGGGCTTGGTTCGGTTATGATGTCTTTGATGACTGATTTGTTGTTTGATTTAACTTGCGTCTTTTATGATACATGCAGGTCAGATTCCTGGACCTTACGCCGCAATGCTCTTTTTGCCCGTTTGTTATGGGCGGGCGTCCGGCCGGGGCGCCGGGGCGCATCGGGAATCTCGAACCGATGAGCCGTCCGCCCTTCACGGCCATGCCATGTTACTGACACCGGGCAACGGTGGGGCGACCAGTGAAATGCCCTCGTCATTGCTCTCCTTCACTTCATTCTCGTTGGCCATGAGGGATTTCATCAGGCTATTTATGCTCGGGCATTTCGGCGTAATGATACAACCTGGGCGCATCTCTCTCATCATGGCCTGCTACTGCGCCATAAACACGTTCAATATCTGCTTGGAAAACATGCACAAGATTTAATCTGCCTTGGTATTATAAAAATAGCTAGTAGGTAAGACATCCTTTCTAACACCAAAGACTATATAAAAGCAACCTTTCGATGGATATCAACAAACCCCATGCTGTTAACAGGCTACACCGCCTGCATGCCTTCCATGCCACGCCATCTTCGAGCAATCAAACTTGGATTCCCTCCTGTCAACAGCCTCATGCTCCCCCAAAATTCTTGGCTCAGTGTTCGTCATTCATTAGTTCCCCAACTCCCCAACGCCGTTTGTGTGTAAAATGATTCCTCCTAGCTGGACTGCGTGTATGTCCAACCTCTACTGCAAGCTGGTTTGCCCGTAGTGAGGCCCGCCATCTGGGGCACCGGCCGGATGTCGTTTCAGATCATTGGCTCTTGTTGCCGTGGGACAAATGTGCTTTGCCTCATTGGAATAGCCGGTTGGAATGATCATATGTCGGCCAGCTTTAGTCAAGCCCTCCTTCAGCAAAGCGGGTTTACAGGATCTCTTTCAACTTTTCCTTCTGATCCATGGTCAAGGACGTCGGAAAGTTGATCTTGTACCTGATGACGAAATCTCCCCGCTGGCCGGGCTTCTTGGAGATGGGCATGCCGAGGCTGGGATATCGCTCTTCGCTATTGGGGTGGGTAGGGCCGCCCTTTTCGAGGTTCAGTTGTCGACCGTCAATGGTCGTCACCTGCCTTCGCCATCCTGTCAATGCCTCCTTAAGATCGAGAGTCACGACGTGGACAATATCGTTGTCTTCGCGCTTGAAAAGAGGGTGTTCTTTCTGTAGGGTTGTTAGTTACATCAAACTTGCTATCATGTTAGGGACTTGCTTACCTCTTCGACGATGAAGTGGAGGTCTTGGCGGCCACCTTCCACTTGATCACCAACTCCATTAAACTTGATCTTGGAACCCTTCTTCAAGCCTGGCTTGATGGGAACCTCGAGGATCTGGTCCGTCTGTACCCGCTTGCCTGACTCGTCGTATGTCTTGCGCTTAATCTTCATCTTTTTGGTCACGCCGTTGAACAACTCTTCCAGCGTCAGAGGCAATGGTCGCTCCACTGTGGTGACTTCGGGGGTTGCGTCTCGGCCGCGCTCACCGAAGCCTGATCTCATGCGGGAACTGCGACTTCGAGGGCCACCGGGAAATGAGGAGAAGCCACCAAACTCGTCATCATCAACACCACCACCAGCGCCGTGCATGCCGCTACCTCCGCTGCGCATGAATTCGGCGAAAATGTCTTCAGGGTTGCTGAAGCCGAAGCCTCCAGGACCGCCACCGCTGGTGTTGAAATGGAACGTTCGGGTGCCTCCTCCACTGGGCATGCCGCCTTCAAAGTTGAAACCGCTGAAACCTCCAGGCATGCCTCCGGAGGCGAAGGGGTTGCCACCAGCAGCTCCTTCAGGTGGTGCGGTGCCGCCGCGGAGTAGGAATTCGAGACCGTACTGGTCGTAGACCTTGCGCTTCTCGGGATCGGAGAGGATTTCGTAGGCTTGCGAGCATTCCTTGAACTTTTCGGCTGCATCGGGGCTGTCCTTGTTCTTGTCGGGGTGCCATTTCAAGGCTGCCTTTCTGTAAAAATGATGGTTAGCTATGGTGCCGAAATATGGCATGATGCGCGAATCGCACGGGTGTAGCTGGGAATGAGCAACAAAGGGAAAAAGACGGGAATCAATTGGGGATCAAATGAGGGCATTGCGATGAATATGCTGACCAGAAACGGGATGCAATGCCGTTGTGTATGACGTTGCTCCATTGATGCTGTGCGAACGGTAATAGTGACGGTGACGGGTACTTACTTGTAGGCCTTCTTGATCTCATCTTGGGTAGCGTCAGTCTTGACGCTGAGGGTATCGTAAAGCTTCGTCTCCTTAACCATGGTCGCGCGCGTTCAATGCCGTACTTGTTGAGAGGATTCGAGGCTCAAGTTGTGCGAGGTGTGGTGGAAGCGTGCGTGCTTAACGGATGGGAGAGATGCGAGTATCGTATGTGCGTGCCCGTCTGAAATGAGGGGAAGACGGGAAGGGAGTAAAACAGGATTGAGAGCTGCTTCTTGTTGGTCGTCAACCAGCAACAACCAAGCACTGAATGTGTGCTTTCCTTTTGTATTTGGTTTGCCCTTGGATTGGAAAAAAGTGTTGGTCACGAGGAAGATTTGAAGAGAGAGAAAACTAGTCGTGGGCGAAGTTCTAGAAGTGTATGTAGAATTGTGAGTTTACAGAAGATGGATGGAGCGGAGTGGCCAAGCGGCTGAGAGGAGCTTGATATGGATCCGCCGTGAGCGAGTCCAGTGACACTTGCACCGAGGGAGACCACTACGCCATGCTACCGTGACAGCCCGTCTGGGCAGGCCACACCAGTCGCTAGAAGCCACCGCTGGGAAAATACTGGGGCATGGGACCTTGTGGAAGCTTCCAAGCCTAGGGAATAAAGAACTTGATCTCTGGTTGCTGCTGGCCTTGTCGGGTGGGGTGACGTCGATCGACAAATCGAGACTGACAAAGGTCAAAGTGTCTGGCACTCATGCTCGATTCTTTCTCCTCATGTTCCTGCAACCCAAAAGCCATTTCTCTATTTGGGCTTAAAATTACATGAAACCTCCATCCCACATCGGAAATTAGCTAAAATGAAGCCAAAAGCAAGATTTTCAGCCTCTTCTGCACTTCTTTGTCGGGCTCCTTTTGTCGATACCTGACTTGCAAGGATGAGCGGACTATGACGCCGGCGACAGCGGGGGACAGCGCCCTAGACGCGCGAACATCCAGTCCAAGCCTGGACCTTCGAGAGCTCTCTCTCGGGAGCCAGCAGCTCTAGCGGGGCTCGAAACTCGGGGAAATGTGCAAGTCGTCTTGGCCCAAGCAAGTATGTGATCTATCATGAATGCTGAGTTGATGCAAGAGAATTGTTGATAATTCAATCGCTCTCTATTTGACAACACCGCTACTTTGCTATGTCTCTTACTGTACCTGCTCTGCCGAAGCTACTAGGTATGCAAGGGTGACTTGTAGGTTGTACCCCTGCTCACCCGCATGCAACTATTCCCGTCGGCCCTAGTTGATGATCGAAGCTTCTAGAACCTTCCACCAAGAGTTCACAACGTAGAGCTTTCTATTCGTATCGACTATGCGGCGCAGTTTGAGACTACTGACAAGCGAAAACGGGGCCTATTCGTCTCTATTATTAAGCCAATAGAATTGGGGAGGATGCCGGGATTTGAACAAAGTGACGTATCTTCGCCTTGAACTGTTGTATCTTGAACCCATGACCCATTCAAGCTAGTCGTGTCTTGAATGTATTCTTATCATATCGCTTTGATATGCGCGTCCCTGATACGCGGTGACTTAGAAAAGGGCATAGGGAAATTTTGGTTATGAGGCGACGATAGCTTGGAACACATAGGCCACGAGAGAGCACCCCCGTCCCCCAACGGGTGGATGGGAAAGAGGACTAACTTACCTCCCCCAGTTATCAATCCCGGGGGAATATCCATAGATCCTAATCGACATTATGACTCGCAGTCGATAGAATCTGTAATTCTTAATCAGAGTCTGGTTTCTTAATGTCCAACTAGGTACGTAGGTGAGTAGTTGCCGTCAGTGGATTGAGGATGATATCTCTACTTTCGTCCGGTATTCTCTGTCCAGAGTTGGCAACTCATTACAAACGAATAACCACTAGCCTCGTGTACTTTTGGTGGTGTGCCTCAAGTTGAAAAGTTGCACAATTGCCCGACTTACACATTCTGGGGGTTTGTGGTTGTAGGTTCCAGTACCAAGGAGCGGCCCATGGAGTTTCCGTCCAAATATAAGTTTCTTCTTCAACATCAAATTTACTTCGTAAGGACCCTTCAGTATTTCCCGCAATTCTATTCATCTTCATCTGCAACACTAAACAAACTTGAAAGCCTCTTTGCATCAGTGCAAGCCGATGTCAGCGTGGCCAGCACGTGCGAACGACGCCAAGACCTCTTATCTTATCGGGCCGTGAAGGTACGTACCTCCGCATGCACGGGAACCCTCCACTTGTTCTGGCAGCGCAAGCACCTTCCTAGGTTGAGGAGCAACAGCTCCCTCCGCCCTCATCACTTCGACAAACTCCATTCCTACACTGGAGTAGGTTGTCGCACCACCTGCCAACGCCTCGACTGGATTTAGTGCATCGTTTTCATCATTCTTGTTCAGCAATCGCGTAGATCTTGTATCCGCTCGACCCCTCAACACCCCAGCTCGGCCCGCGCCTTTTGGACAAAGCGTGCTGGCTCCATCGTGGCTCGGGGAGCATCGCATCGTCAGATTGAGCTTGGAACCCCGTCAGTAGGACTCAGCTCCTCGCGTCGCAAGAAAAAACGGAACTATGGCTTCCATGGAGCCTTCCGAGGATGAGATCGGCCAGGTCATAGACTTTGCTGGTCTAGACCCCGTTGACGATCGATTCATGGTTGCACAAGCTCTCAAGGTCAGCAGCTCCAGACAGCCTTCCCCGCAAGACATCCAAGGCACTGACACGTCCTGTTGGACAGCACAATAATAGAAACGCCGAGACCGTCCTGACCCAGTTCTTCGATAACGCTGACAATGTGCGGAACTACCCAAGCCCTGTTGATGCCGGAGTCAATGCTCAACTGCTTTAGTTTCGACAAAAGTACAACACAGCTTGGGACGAGTCTATGTTCGCGGCTGATAGAGATGGCACCGACAACAACGCTGGAATTTGTTTGTAGGCCTCTACCCGAATGTTGCTCTTGTAACTGACCTGGTAGCCTTCCACATCGAATCCTCAGACCACGACGTCATTCAGGGCGTAACTCCCCCGCCAGACTCCTCCTACGCACTCGGCGCTCCTTCGAGGCCTCCTTCACGATCGAATAACCGGTCACCTTTGGGTAGGATGGTGGAATTGACTGCGGCACAAGTGCCCGGTACTACTCTTGCTCACAACGTCGACAACGCGCTGACCAGGACGGCAGGTGTTCCGAATAGCCATACCCAGGAAGAAGATGATGTGCAACGAGCGCTCCGCGAGTCGGCTCAAGAGGCTGGAATCACACTACCCCAGGACGAGACGGGTGTCACAGAACCTTCGGCCTCTTTACCATATTTTGGACCTGCAGTCCGAAGCGACTATGATCAGAACAGCTGGGCCATGGTTCCTGTTGGGCCCGCTAAGGAGAGCTCACCTAGCGACCCTCCGCCTTCAAAGAGAAAAAGAGCTCCGGGTTCTCCTGCTTTTCTCGTCTTGAGCAATTTCGATTCTGGCCACAAATTAGGCGGCCTTCTTACGATCTTGCACGAAATTCCCATCGCCCGGAATGTGCTCCTCGGACTAGGCACGCATACCTCGTCCTATGGCCATCGTAACGACTGGTGGAAAGGGCAAGAAATCCTATCCCCCGAGGTTCAAGCCAAGATGCTCGAGGAACTACGCTGGGAACACCGGAGCCACAATGAGACCGCCTTCGATGAGGAAGTCCACCGTCTGATGGCGTTTTTGGATGACACAGAACGTGCTTACGGCTCAGCTTCAGTTCTCACAGAGCTTTTTCCTGAAGTGGACAGAGCCATTGAAAGGAAGTTCTATGACCTGATTGATAGCCGGCACGGAGACCAGACCCAAGCTATAATGCAACTTGCAGTCCTCGGCAAATTTCATGAAGACGGCGACTCAGATCTGGATGAGGTCAAGTTTGGCTTGCTCGACATTGAACTTTCACCGAATGAAGACGGTTGCACCAAGACTCTCTACGAGGCACTAGATCACATAATGTGGAGTGATGCCCTGGGCTGTGATGGTATCCATGCAGGATCTAAGATGGCCTTTTTCAAGGAGACGGGAGAGGTTTTGGCCCTTAACATTGGTGGCGACGGACCCCGCGACTCCATCGAGATACCCCAAGAGCTATACCTGGAGAGGTATTTGTCGACTCGAAAGGATGAGGCCAAGCGCATTCAACGAGCCTGGCGGCAGACGAAGCGAGAAGCAGGGAGAATCGAAAATCAGAAACAGCAGATTTATCGACTGTGGGATGATTGGGACAACGGAAAATACAACGACAAGCGCGTGCTACTAAAGAAGGCAACAGAGCAGTGGGGAGAATATCGCAGCTACCTGGAGGGCTTGGCACGTTTCCAAGAGATGGAGAATTCGGGATTGCAGACGGACAAATACCCTGATTATCGAGCTGCTCCATGCCGGCTGGATGGCGACGCGCAAAAGCAACATGAGAAGGTTGCCCAAGTGATTGAATATTCGGAGCAACTTCTCGCGAACCTTGAAACAAGGATGAAGGGTAAGTTCTGTTTGTTTTCATGATGGCGCAGGTTCACTTACACGGTACAGGCCTTGACGCAGAACTGGAGCAAATCGTGGGCAAACAAAGAGCACTGGGCAGGCTTTTGACTGTGCCGGACAAGCCAGGTCGTCCAAAGCCCATGACTTGCAAGAAGTATCTTCTTCGTGGCGTGGCTACAACTTCCAACATCATCTATGTTTGCCGACGGGGAGAGGCAGATCTCATAGAGTTGGATGATGAAGCCAAGAAGCCATCGGATCAGTGGTGGAGGATGGCATATACCCCTGGCGAGGAACAGCCAGTCAAGGTAGAGGTAGGAGAGCCGAGACTTGTAACACTCAGGGCCGTTCTAACGAAGCAACAGAAAATCGAGATCGAGCGAGTGTTCCGTGACATGTGGCAGGAGACCAAGGTCCCCCTGTTGGTCTATGCAACAGATGAAGCCATCGACGCGCCAAAGAGTCCCCTTCCAAGCCAGCTGGAACGATTCGTCAAAGCGGAGAATAAGACCTTTCACCAGGAACTGAATCAAGAGCGGAACGAGACGAGCGAGACGAAGCGAGCGACATTTGTGGACCCTATTTCGCCATCCAAGAGAAAGCACCGATCCGATAGTGTATGTTCCATGGACAGCAACCGAGCTTCGCTGGGTAGTGACGACAGGAACGGCTTCGACAACCCATTCGAAGACCAGGACGACGCTATCGGCACTGAAATGACCGAATTTGGAAACCCACCCGACCACGCCCACAGTTTCGATGCATCCCAGGACACTCTTCCTGCACTGATCCCCCAACCTGCATCAGCTCTGGAGCTCCTTACTGAGGCAGCATCAGCCACAATGACGCCAAGTACGGTAGGGGCCGACCGGGTGGAGAGCTCGCCGGCAAAGAGTCCACCGGCGGTGACGGAAGAGTCTCGGACCCCGGAGATGCAGGAGCGGGCACGACCCCCGGCTTTCATAACCCTGCCGGCCAATTCTCCGGAGCCAACAGCTAAGAAGGAAAACGGTGACCTCATGGATATGGAAATTCCGGAACACTAAGGACGTCCATTTGGGAGAAACGGTTCGGAGAAGGGGAAGTGTTGCATGGCGTGCTTTTCTTGTATTGCTTTGGGCATGGCTGCATGAGCGCGTTGGGAACAATTGTGGGAGCAATTGCATCAAGATTCATTCAGCATCCGACGGATGTTATGCATGTATGGAGTTTCACTGTGGTTCTGTTGATAGAGACAGTGAGGATTGGCGGTTTAACCTGACGGTTGGTATCATTTCCCGGGGGATTGGTCGTTTGCTACGTGGGGACATGGCTTTTGTGTATCACAACTGGGCTTCTGCCTCACACAAATCATGATGGCTAATCACTTTGGGCTGCCCGATAGAGATAACCTGAAGAAACGTCCTTCTCTCTGTCTATTGGGGGAAATGACTCATGATGTACACACCATTGCTCCTCTCGAAAAGCAGTAAAAAAACAAAAAGACGACCAGTTTGTCCCGCTCCGACCCCCGCCAATGCCAATACCAATGCCAATGCCTTCGGGACTGGTCCTGGCCGGGACAGCCCACTTCTTAGAACGCCCAAACAAAAATCAACTCGCTATGCCGGTCGTACCAAAAGATGGATAGACGTAAAACGTGGAAATCGGGTCATCAACGACGACCTCGACCGACTACTTGTGGTCCTTGATGTCATCCTCATCCTCATCGTCCTCGTCAAAGTCGTCCATATCCTCATCGCTGTCACTGCCGCCAAAGTCCTCTTCCTCGTCCGTCATGTTCCAGAAGTCGGCATCGTCGTCAACAGGCTTCTGTGGTGCCGGAGCGAGCTCGGAGGGAGTGGGCATTCTGGATCCTTCGGGGATGTCCTTCTGAGACTTGGCCACGATCTCCTTGGCCCTGGCGTTGTACTCGCTTCGACGGTCGCGGTAGAGGACGCTAGCATCAACGTTTGCGGGAGAGTTAATCTCGGGGTCGTCGAGGAGGAGGAGGACGGAGCGGAGGACGGACTCGACGCCGTGGAGAACGTTCCACCGCTCGTTGGCCAGCTCTCCCGACTGCTCGTCCTCACCGGGCTTGTGTAGGATCGAGATGCAGAGGTTGCCGTCCGAGTAGACGTTGGCGTGGCAGATGTTCCTGGTCAGGAACTTGAAGGTGGGAGGCTGGTAGGGGTAGTCTTTGGGGAATCGCATCTCGGCCTTGAGGTAGGCGCCGTGCCAGATGCTGTCGGGGTTGACAACCCAGAGGCCGAGCCTCCAGTGTAAGATGTTTGTGTCGTCGGCCTGTTTAAATTAAAGGTCAGGTGGCGTTTGTCATATACGGTCGTCAAGGCTGCGTACCTCGATATTAACCCACTTCTCCTTCTGGAGGGGTTGGATTTCCTGCATGAGCCGCTTCTGCGCCATGATGAAAGAGTGTGTGTGCGATTCTCGCGGAAATGCGGTGTTGTCTTTGAAAAGTGATTGTGTGTCTCTAGAACGAAGAAACTCGTGTGGTTGGGAAATGCGTGTGTTTGTTCCAAGTAAGAGTCCGGCGCCAACGACGTTCGGTCAGGCTCAAGTCAGGCGAGCGGCGGCAAACTGCGGAAAGGGCGGTCGAGGGTGTGGGCGTTCTGCGGCTTCGGCGATTGGCGTGACGGTACGTGTTTTTTTTTTTTGTCCCGCTCGGCAAGGGAGAAGAGAAGGGGAAGCGAGAGTGTCTCGTGTACTTCTGGGATTCGTTCTCGCTGTGTTGTTTCGTCAAGGACAAACAGTCGAGAAGGGCGTTTGCAAGAGTCGGAGACGTGTTGTCGGAGGGTGTGCGTGAAGGTGGGAAGATGGGGTTGGGGAATCTAGCGCTGGTGACTTATGAGACGGTGGAGGAGGGGAGAGAGGTTAGGACAATGCCGTTTTCTTTCTTTCCTAATGTGGTAATTTCGCAAAGGAGTTGAATAGAGACAAGAATGAATAGCGGGGGAAAGAGCAGTTTAAGAGAAAAAAGGAAATCATGAATGAATTAATCAGTCATGAACAGAAAAAGAGTCACTTCACTTCGGCCTGGCCGCCGCAGCCTGGAACCGGGACCGGGGGCGCGGGCGCCTAGTGAAGGAATCCACAATGGTCGATGAACCCAGGAAGGTACCCGGCCGGTTTGGACGGCACCTGCCCACTTTTTACCTGTTTCTTTTGCCTGAACTATTCAGGTTTCCTTTCCAACATTAGTTCTTACCTCATTCCTACCAAAATATCACACTGTTGCCTCCCCTCGCTCGTGCCTTCTCTGGTGACTGACTGACGTCGGATCCCCGTGGTCCCTTGACCCACCCCGGCTGAACCGGCTCCACCGATGATATACGTACCTGCCGAGCATACAAAAACGCCCCCGAGACTCGGAGGCGCGGGGGAGAGAGAGAATGAGAAATCTCGTTATCGTGGAACGTGGTTTAAACTTTTTTGCCCCCCTCTCAAGTTCTAGAAGGACGCCTTGTGCCTGATCGTCGTGCCACAGTGTGTAAACTCAAAGGGATATCCGAAAAGAAAAAAAGGGGTTTCCTATTCAGATTCATGACCAAGTATTGACTGATCATGATGGGGTAAGCTATGGCATTATCTGTAACCCCGTCTCCTAGCCTGAAACATCCCCGATGCTAGTATCATGGGTGTTTCAATGCAATCATGCCCGGACGTGGAACCCCTGATAATACGTCAAAGCTTGATCGATAAAGGGATCGTCAAGCTCTGGTTCAGTCTGCATAGAGTGGACGCCATCAACGAACTGCTCAGACGTCAAAACAAACCCCCAGTCACGTCCACACCTCTTCTCAAGTCCCTCCCCAGAATCTTCCTCATCGCTCAGCAAGAGACAGTCCCAGCCCTTGTTGCTAGCATCTCGGATAGATTCCTCGAGACCCCGGTGGGTGTTGGTTCCTGCAAACAGCAGCGTAGTGATGCCTAGGACGGCTAGGTATTCCTCAATGCCTGTGCCTCCCCAGAACCCGGATGGACGCTTCTTGGTGATGGTTTTGTCCTTTTCTAGGGACACTCTTGCTAGTGTCGGGAAGAGGGCCGTGTTCCATTGGTCACGCACCATGACCTTTCCGGCCTCGACTGATGTGTGATCGCAGTCGTTGATGATGAGCTTTGGCGACCCAATGTCTTGGCCGAGTTCTCCGAGGTATTTCGGTTCGTTAGGGTTATCGTCAATGTTGTTGTCAAAAGAGAACAACAGTGCCAGGGCTGGGTGTATGTCATCAAGGTCCGCCTCATCCAAGCCCCAGCCGACCCACAGGATAGGAATATCAGCCCTTCGACAGGCTGGGATGATTTGCTCCTCAAGTCTGAGTGCCATCATTTGACCTGGACCATCGTAGGGGCGGCCCAGAAGAGGGGATAGGAAGTAGTTTTGCATGTCCACCACGACAAGAGCTGTCCTGGTCGGGTCGATTGTAACCTGTTCGATACTGGTTGTCAGTGAGATTCGTGGATAGACAGGTGGAGATGAAGGCTCGTCGGGATGAGTGAGATCAAAACCTGACTCTTGGGACCAGAGCCAGAAGTTGTTCTTCCCACCGATGACCTTTGTCTTGTCATCTGTCATGGTGGCGGTTGGGATGGTAGGAGTGGATGACATTGTGGATAGATAAGGTGAGAGTGTTCGTCTTGAGAGAGGGATAGAAAGTGTGTTGTTGCTGAAATGTTGGTTCCTGAGGTGTTGATAGAGACGAGAGAGATGGTAGCTTTATACCTAGACTTAGGTTGGACGACAGTACACGTTCCAAGTCGCTGATCTATAGGCTATGTGCTCGAATCACTACTACGGGACGAGCCTGAATATCGTCCTTTTCATGAGAAAACAAAAGTTGGCCGTGATCAAGTACTTCCTTAGCATCATGGCGAATCCGCTATTAACAGCCTGGCGTTTCTGGAGCTCATACTTCAACTGACCGTATGTATCTCCCCATCATCTCAACAAAGTAGCCGAAAGTGAGTGATGTGAACTAGCGTTGATCGTCTGCTACAGAGTTCTGACCAAAGTAGGTTCTTACAGGATAAGGGAAATCATCTCGCATTCTCAAAGATACTCGGTTTGAGAAAGCAGAAATACAAAGCAAAATTGGACCAACTGGCAAAATAATAGAGATGTCATAAGATGTATGTATTTCAAGTCAAGCTTACGTTACGTCTACGTTGTCACGTCTACGTCACGCATGCCTACTCATCTACATAACTATCTATGTGGAATGTGGGAGTCGAAACTCTAGCACACTGGTATTCAAGGTTCGGGAAGACTCAGTAACTTGGAGCTTGCCAAGTCCGTCACTGTCTTCCGACAATAGAGAAGGGATTAAACTAGATGATGGTACCATGGTCGTGGGTGCTGGGGCTGGCTGAGGCTGTAGAGCTTATTGCTGTTTAGATGTAGGATGTGTTGAGGTTGCTAGGGAGATATCAAGGCTTCCTCCAAACCTTGTGTCTCATGGAAAAAAATAGAACCGTAATCAGAGTTGAGTTGTTATCGTATGCAAAGGTATCTGGCCAGACAAACCTCCCCTATCTACAACGCAAAGCAAAGCAACATCCAAAAACATCATGCAACACTAACAAATCCATCTATCCACATCCAACTTCCACTTGATGAAACATCAGTTGCCCAGATCATAGTAGATGCAGTTGCCAGACCGAAAGTTGTACAAGAACGAGTGTCTCGTACAGTTCTTCTTCTCAAACTTGTATCGCCACGTGTCCAGCTGGTCGTGGATCTCGCGTATGTACTTCTTCTCCGACGTCGTCACCGCGTGCTCGACCTGCCGCCAGCTCTCGGGCTCGGAGAGACACGTCTCGCGGATCAGGTCCATGACTTGGTCTGTTGTCTCAATGGCGAGGATTGGTCCGTCGAGGAACGATCGCACTACACTGCTGGCGCTGACCTGGGCTTGTTCCACCACCGTCCTCCGGTTGAACTTCTTGCTCCGTGTCTGGGCTATGAGTACTCGAACCTCCTGCTCCGGATCCTTGTCTCCCGAGCCGCTGGGTTCGGCTTGAGAACTGTTGCCTCGAAGCTTCACCACAGACCTCGCGTCTCGTTCTCGGATCTCGCCTCGGAGCCAAGACAGTAGCTGCGTTGACGGAATATCAACGTCTGGTGCGTCCTTTCTGCCCATGCTCTTGATCTTTAGGATGGAGTCCTGCTTGATAATGATGATCCACGAGTACACTTCGTCGCGGTGCTTCGACAGCAATTCGTCAGGGGATCTCGCGTCCTTGGCCATTTCCGCACTGATATCGTGAGCCCAGAGCATTTGAAGAAGTTCAACACCAGATGATCTGAGCAGAGCGGCGTCAAAACTGGCAACCAAAACGTCACACTGCATCTCATGTTAGCAAGACATGTCGGAAAACACCAAAATACAGATGAACTCACCCTTCGAGTGTTAAACATGCCGTTTCCTTCCTCCTCTCCCTTCTTTAGGAACGGTCGTCCGCTGACTTTGGAAACTCTCGCTAACCGTTCCCATGCCAAGCTAAATCCAACCGCGTGCCTCTCGCCAAACTGGCCGCCGATTCTGGGCCGGTGTTCCTTGATAAGTTGGTCATATCTTCCACCAGCTGCAAAGACGTCCTTGGTCTTCTTGTCGTAGAGGCACGAGAAGAGGATGCCACCAGTGTAGAAGCCCTCCTTCAAGCTGTTCAGGGGGTTGATGTAGACCTTGGTCCCGACTCCCAGACGCTTGCAATACTCAATGACCTCCTTCAGATGTGCAATTGTGGGTGAAGCTCGCTGGTACATGTCACTGCCTTCAAAGAGGGTTTTGAGTTTAGAAAATGTCTTGTTTGGCGTGTCTAGACAACGTTAGTGATGCACGTTTTGGATGCGCCATCTCGCTTACCCCTGAAATCGAATCGTTGTAGTTCGTCCACGCTCGTCGCTGATACACCCACAGCCGCTGACCGCAGCTCGATCCTAATCTTCTGCCAAGTGTAGTTGTGAATATTCAACTTGCTCAGAACATCTGCCGTTGCGCGTCTGCACGCTGGTTCAATGCCGCAATGTTCGAAAATGAGCTGCAAAAGATCAGAGTGTCCCAAGTGGAAGCACATGACAGTCGAAGACAGCGAAGGGAATGTGTGAATGATCTCGTCAATCACTTTTAGAACCTCAGCCTCCTTCATTGCCAGGTCCAGTGCGTCAGTTGTGACAATGTCAAAGTCGACTTCGCCAAACATCAGGGGTTGTCCCGTGTCTTGCTTATCACGGAAAACGTTGCCAAAGGTAAAGGTCCTTTGTATCACGGGACCAGTAGCTTGCTTGGCCATCATTCGTGCATTGCCCATCGTGAGATCGTACGGAAGCTGAAGCACGTTTCCGTTGGCGTCCAAAAGTTGCACGGTATTGTCTCCGTAATGAGACGAGCGAGGATATATGACTCCCCTGGGGCATTCCAGCGCACCATGACGGCGAAAGATGCTGATGAGAGACTTCTTGACGATCCCTTGGTTGAGTAGCTCCTGTGGACTTGGGCCTGTAGAGAACATATCCCAGGCATAGTTCTTTGTGGGTTCCATGTGTTTTGCAAACAAGGTTGAAAGCATCTTGCGATAGTATGGCGAACTGGGATCGGCAAGTCCAGCAAGGGTGCGTCTGATAGTCTCACTC